ATATTATTCTCTATTTTCCACAATTCTGCTACACAGGTTTCTGGCTTCATGACCTTCTTCAAGCAAAGAGTAGATATTTCGATATATTATAAAAATTTATTTTTTGTGTGGTAGTGATTCAAATGTCTTTCTTGGACTGGCGATAGGAGTTTATATATATATATATATATATATATATATATATATATATATATATATATATATATATATTGCATATAGTTCTCTATATGCAATATATAAACTATAGTTTTCTATATTAAATATATATATATATATAAAAAATTCGTTTATATATCGTTGTTTACATTTTAAAGCATTATACAGATTAAAAACTGTTGAAATTCATTTTTGTTAATTTAAAGAAGTTCAACGCAGCGATATTATTTTAAAAAAAGTATGAAATGACTCATATAAGCGATGAGTACAAATTAAAAAATAAAGAAACATGAATTACCATTCCAAAATTATTTAACCCGAATATTACAGCACCAATACACTGACATATTGGTATGTCGATTGTCAGTTTACATTAAAGACTATGGTATGAATGATATATATATATATATATGTACAAAGAGGAAAAACCACCTAAATAATAAGTGCTTCCAAATAGCGCATAAATTAATTACATCAAAAGTATAAAAATAAATGAAAATGGGAAAACCAGCATTCAGTTATTGAAAATCCTCCTGAAGAGTGGACCGAGCAATTACAAAAAAGTTAATCTACAAAACTCTGTGAGGTCTTAAATATAATATCAGCTAAGTGACGATTTACATCTCCTCACACACACACACACACACACACACACACACACATATATGTATATATATATATATATATATATATATATATATATATATATATATATATATATATATATATATACGGATAGATATGAATATATATTGCAATTCGCCATTCATATATTTATAATCCGTTTATTCTAGCTTTCAAAAATCAAAATGTAATTAGTATTATGTAAACAGTGTCTTCTCATATTTGATGAAAGATATCTCTTACTAAAGAACTCCTCTTGCTTTAAATGAAGCCAAAACACAACTTCTTTACGTTAACGAGCATATGCCCGATCTCGAAGTCACTGGTATTTCCAGTACATGTTAGCCTTTCCTTACTAAGGAACTTGCCATGATTAAAAACGTGTTCCCTATCCTTGATTCCGGATGAAGAAGGTTGACCTACCCACATTTATTTCTCTTCGCTGCCGTCGAATCAATTGGCTGACAAGCGAACCCTCGTGGCAGGATCGGCAAAATTTGTCCTGTCAAGCCCTTATGCCAGTTGCCCGGGACGCTCGGAATAAAACCAGTGTCCGTAATGATGCTTCTAGCAATAAACCGTCGATTTGCAAGGGTGTGAGCAAACTGAAAGATAAGAGGGAGGAGTCAACTATTTAGGGAGAGTGGATCACTTTTACGGTCTGGTCGGACACTAGCCAGGGTGTAATGGCCGAATATTTAGACAACGTAAATGCTTGCTTTGATGGTTTGTCAGAATAAATCTGTGAATTTGCGGGTGTTCATTTTTTATTGGTGTTTGTGGGGTGGGGTCTAGATAAAGAGAAGGGTGATAGCCAAAATCATGCAATGTCTTCTTTGCCAAATGTGACTTCTGCGTCAAGTCAATTAACTGTAATGTCTGTTTATAGCATTCTTGGTCATGAATAGACTGAAGGAGGCATAGTGGTTGGGATTTCATCGAGGACGACAGTTTATCATGGTTAATAATATCGGTCGGAAGATGGACTGTTCCGAATTCAAGACCGGCCTGGAGAGGTATGGCAGTTCACTATATTTATAGGGAAAGAGGGGTCAATATCGGTGGTCGACTGTTTATAGTTATAGACAATGTGGACACTGGAATCAACAGTGCATTGTCACTGTCAGTTCCACGCTTCACATTTGCCCTATGTGGTGTCGCAATGACCCTAATGTAATACGGAAAACGTGAGTACCGCTCCAGTGCAAATCAACCATTCGTCCTTGCATGGAATACTGCTGCCATATATGGTCTGGTGCTCCCCCTGTTCATCTTGAGGTCCTCGGCAAAATACAGAGACGGATATGCAACGTAATTGATCCTGATCTGACATCCCGTCTGCAGTCTCTATCTTGTGGCTTCACTCTCTCTTTTCTGCAAGTAATTTCATTGGCAACTGCTCCGACAAGCTGGTTCCCAAATTGCATGAATTTAAGCGTGCTACTAGGTTGGCATCTCAGTCCCACCCTTTCGCTGTTGGAACGGTTAAATGTAACCATCTCTTCTACTCCAACAGCTTCTTATCTCGCACCTCCCGTCAATGGAACTCCCTTCCTATCACTTGCTTCCCTGATAGCTATAATCTTCAAATATTCAAATGTAATGTCAATCGACATCTTCTGATGCCTTGACCTTGATCCCTGTCCTTCTCTTTATCCTTTTTCCAAATACTCCTCTCTACTCTTATTTTAACTCTCTGTAACCCCTTGCCTGCTAGTATCACGCCTGCATTGCTTGGGGGCGAAATGATTTTAAAATACCTGACTTCTCCTGCCATGATCTACATTTACAAGAGCCAGTTTTCACCTTCCAGTCTTGATAGTGTTCAAATCCGTCAACGCGGCCTTGTGGGTGATGAATTATTTTCCGCCTTACAGTCCCTTTCCCGTATACAAAACGTTGCAAGCCTAACGGTAGTCTGTCTATTTCATTGAAAATGTCCAGATTAGCTTCCTTGCTTAGTTCCACCCTCATAACTAAGACCTGCTGCGCTGCGCACATGGAAACGAAACCAAGATAAGACCTCTCCTTCGGGAAAAGGCTAATGTTAAGCCCCGATGCCTGATGATCACCAAGAAGGCTGGACTAGTTTGGGACTTTGGTCCGATGTACGCGTAGTAGTTCCACTTTAAACTCAACCTATTATCTCATTTTTTTCGAGTGGACGTTCGAACAGACAAGACTAACAAGAGTAATTTAACGTTATATGAAAAAAAAAATCTTGCATCTCGTGGTTTCCATTTTAAAGCATTATACAGATTAAAAACTGTTAAAATTTATTTTCGTTAAATAAAAAAAAAAATTAAAAAAAAGATACATGAATTAACATTCCAAAATTATTAAACCCAAATATTCCAGAACCAATACACTGATATATTGGTATGTCGATTGTCAGTTTACATTAAAGACTACGGCATGAATGATATATATATATATATATATATATATATATATATATATATATATATATATATATATATATATATATAAAAAAAAAGGCTCTTTTTATTATATCCTTTACTCTGTCCTAGACATTGAGTTCTACCTGGATCCTTCCTCTTGGAAAGATTTTTTTTTCTGAAAATATACATGTATGGGAATTTTTTTTATATATTTTGCATATGTATGTATATTTTCCACTAATATTGTCTATATATATATATATATATATATATATATATATATATATATATATATATATACGTATGTATATATATTCAAATGAGTTCGTAGGATTTACTTTTTACAAAATGGTCAATACAAAGTAGGGCAAGATATTATTATAATATATATATTTTCTTATCAATTCAGCCCGAGTAAGGTGATAATGACACTAAAACGTGAGAGTGTACTGGGAGTGAAAGACAATCAAAATCCCAATCCTAAACAAAAAACAAAGGATAAACCTCTACTTCTGTTCAAAAGACAGAGAGGAGTGCGAACAGGGCGAAAGCGAACCCATTTTCTATTATATATATATATATATATATGTATGTGTGTGTGTGTGTGTGTGTGTGTGTGTGTGTGTGTGTGTGTGTGTTTTCTTTTTCTTTAATGTGACAAAACCATCAAACAAAATTGACATTGACGTTTATATAATAAGATTATCTGACAATTTAACGCCTAGGAATTTTTTTTTTTTATTTAGAACAAGGTGAGACACCTTTCCATTTTTCAAGTATGGAGTGTCTTGAAACTTCCTAAGCGATTAATTGAAGCAGATGACACTCAGAATGTCCCCCGACTTTTATTTTATTTATTTTCTGAGCCCCTACTATAACAGGTAAATCTACTAGTTCAAAAAAAAAAAAAAAAAAAAGTTGCGTCCTTCTCAAAAATAATTAAATGCTTTCCAAATCAATCTGTAAGAAAATAAAGAAAACATAAAGAAAAAGAAAGAGAGACGTCGGTAACATTTTGAAACTTAGCCAACCAAAAGGAAGATAAAATGGCTTCAGAAACTAAGACATTATTTTTCCTGTCTCCACATTGGTCAGTGGTTACCACCAGACTACTGACCAGTGTCCGTTTGCTATTGACTGCCATGGACAATTACACAACAATGAAAGATGACGGAAGGCCGCTTGAACTGTAATCAGTAACATTAGGAAAGGAGGTAGCTTGAAAATGATGGAAGTCTTCTTGTCCAGTGTCCACTCGGTTTGACCACCCCCCGGCCAATAACGTTTTACTTCTACCATGTGTATGTGGTCTGTGTATCTTGACAAGCTGTGTTAATAAATAACAAACGGTTTCTGGTCGTGGGCGGACGTCACTCGGACTGCCAGTTGACCTTTGCTCTGATAGCAGAATCGAGTCGACCCACTCGTCCGTGAGAGCTGATTTTGTTGGAAACAAACATTTCTTTCTTACTTTTTCGCCGTCATCGGAAAAATGGTTTTATCGTCATTGCTCAGTTATTTTGAATTGTCACTCTTACTTAGCCACTGGTCAAGAAAGATTCGATATTTCCGTCTTCCCTTCAATATGTCCTGTGAGTGGTAAATTCTCCAAACTCTCATGTGTTCAAAAATATCAACTGTCATTTTCTGATTGTAATTATAATTAATATATAAAATACTAATTAATAGACAAATCGAGACAATTTTTAATCCTTCTCTCGTATCAAAATTGGCCATAAGTATCCTACACCTACGATTTTTCTTCGGTGTTAAAACTTGGCCGCTTTGTGTGCGATGTTAGTTTTTTTCAGAAAGCACTCAGAATAGATAGATAGATAGATAGATAGATAGATAGATAGATAGATAGATATGAAGAGATAGATAGATAGGAACAGACATAGATAGATAGATAGATAGATAGATAGATAGATAGATAGATAGATAGATAGATAGATATGAACAGACAAAGATAGATAGATAGATAGATAGATAGATAGATAGATAGATAGATGATAGATATGAACAGACTGAGATAGATAGATAGATAGATAGATAGATAGATAGATAGATAGATAGATATGATCAGGCTGGGATAGATAGATATGAACAGACTGAGATAGATAGATAGATAGATAGATAGATAGATAGATAGATAGATAGAGTGTATCACGTATGGCACTTAAAAAAATAATTTGTTTTTAAATGCCATGTTTCTTTAAAATGTAAGTGACCATGGCTATTCACGATATCCCTTTCTTTATTCTCTGTGAATTACCATTGCCTCTTGAGAAAGATGGATCCACAGTTTTGATTTCAGAATTATTCTTCTCCTAGAGGGGCTGCCAATCAAGGCTAGAGAGCCCAGTATTAATATTACTAATTATTATTACAACACAGCTCATTCCCATTTCATCCTTCTTTCTTCATCTTACCATGCCTTCTGATTATTTACTATGCTTTGTTTAGTATGACACAAGGCCAAAAAATGCTCACAGATCTCACCTTTAAAAACTTGGGATGGTTAGAAAATTCGATAGCGAATTCTTTGACAAATGTCTGAAAACTACCGGATTTACCACATCTAACATCAGCTTCACTAAAAGCAATCCATACTTAACCTTTATAGATAGATAGCCGAGGCGAGTTGTATTTTTTTAACCTTTTCACCCCAAGCAAGGCAATAAAGCCACAAAGACGCAAAGGTTACCGTATGTTAAAGAATATAAGAAAAAGTAATATTAAGGAGAATAACAAGAAGGAAGGTTATGGTAGCCATTGCATTTAAATTTTTGAAGATCTAAGTTGACAGAAAACAAGCCGAAAAAAGTTCTAAAAGCGAGAAGTGCAATAGAAGAAACTGTTAGCATAGAACTTACGGTTACATCTAGCCATATCAACTGTAAAATGATGAGACCCTACTGCCAATCTAGTACTGCGCTTAAATTCATAAAGTCTAGGTACCATAGAGGATAGTTCATCAGAACAATTACCATAAAAATATTTATAGAATTGTCATAGGGTAGTTACATTACGGCGATGGGAAAGTGACTGAAGTCGAGATGCCAGGTCAGGACCAATAATATTGCTGATTCTTCTTTGGATTTTATCAAGAATCTCTAAATATATTGCAGAAGCACCAGACCAGGTGTGGCAACAATCTTCAAGAGTAATGACGAATGGTAGTCTTATAAATATGCAAGATAACCTCTGGTGAGAAAAATCGTCTACCTTGACAGAAGGAACCAACTTTCCTAGTGTTGAGATATTGTGAGTTTCCCGCGTGTCGGTGTATGAATCAAGACAAACACAGTTGTAGAGGAAAATACTGGTATATTCATAAAAGCAATTAACAATAGAGTGATTAGTAGAACGAAGGTTGGTTAGTACGAAACAATATCCAAAGTCTATAGTCCAACGGTATGTAACGGGTAAGCTTATCTGGACTGCTCCCTCTCTCTAGAGCTGACTTATATAAGAGGGGCCAGTCCATTACTAGTTAGAAGGTGGGTGCGCCCCAACACCTAGTTAGTTAAAATTTAATATAATGTACTCAAACCTCAGGGAGCTGTCCCTGGGGATTGTGTCGGTGTCATCACCTAGTTTCATGTGTTAGTCTAACTGTAGACGATAGACATGTAACACCCATCTGAGGATGTTTCAAGATGACATTGGTTGAAGCACTGGGATCAAAACAGCAAAGATAAAGATGTTGGTCAGAATAACTGATTGGATAATGGCAACAAACCTTTGAATACAGCAGGAAAGATTGTAGAGTACGTCGGTTAAAATACTATGACCGAAACAACGGAGATTAAAGATACTCGTCAGAATAATTCATCTAATAATAGTAATTCTTTATCTCAAATCTTCAAAGGCTAGGCGAAAGACTGGAGAGTTCATCGGCTGAAATACGTAGATAAAAAATAAAGTAGGTACTCATCAGAATAATTCATAAAATAATGCCAACGCGTTATCTCAAACATTCAAATGTTGCACAAAAAGCCGGAAAGTGTACCGGCTGAAACATGTTCGAAACAACGAAAATAAAAATACTAGTCTGAATACTGAACGAAAGACCGAAGATTGTATCGGCAAAAAAAAAAAAAAATTGATAGAGCGATGATGAATATATACTAGAACCGAATAATTCAGAAAATAATGGCATTTTTTATATCTCGGGACTAGGAAGGCTGGAGAATGCACCGGTCGAAACGTAATGATCGAAACTCTTAAGAGAGAATTACTTGTCTGAATCATTCGTGCAATGGTGATAATCCTTTATTTCATAACTTCTGACTTTTATTAAACAGGATTATTAACAGGATTGGTTGAAGACAGCAAAACGGTGGAAACCGCTTTTCTCACTTAACGATAATTAAACCAAAATACAAACCAACATATTGCAATTTCAACGAAAACTCATAATTCGACGTCAGATATTGACCTTAAGCCGGTTCGGGTCGAAACTGACACAAAGCATTTAGTTAGGTCTATCCGAACAACACAAAACCTCAACCGTCATGAAGGACAACTCATAAATAATAATAATAATAATAATAATAATAAATAAATAAATAAATAAATAAATAAAACGGTATTAAAACGATATCCTTTCCTTAAGCGAAAAATGTTGACCAGGCTTTGAATACTGACCTTTGGTCATCTGTAGCCCAAAATGTCTCGGGTAGTCTATTTTGACAAGTTCAAGGCAAAGGTCACTTTGTCATAACAATCATCTAGGTTAATGTTTAAGTGATTTTCTTTTTTTTTTTTTTTTTTTTTTTTGTGATGTCCATCCTCTGGTCAATGTCTTGGTCGCTAGGGAGCCAAGTATCAATGGGAACTTTGGCCGTTTTATTAACGCTGGTTCCTGGAATCCGCTGTCTATGTCGATGATGCAATTGACTTTTTTTAAGAGCGTACCAAAGCTAACACAATTATGTTCTGCAGTTGAACACGGTCAGTGCTCTCATATCCTAGGTCACGATTTATTGTGAGTTCGGGCTAACTGTACCATCGTCGTCTTCTGAAACAGTTTAGTCTACGCAATTTCATTTACAAGGTGTGGGTCGACCCGTGATATGGTTTTCAGCTACTTTTCCAAACGATACTACACTCTGGTTTCAACACTCACGGCCGATATTATAACCACCTGACAAATTGACTACGGATGAATTCAAACCCGGGGTCTCCTGGTCGGTATGCTAGCAGTGACCACCCGGCATGTCGGGTGCTAAAAATTATCGGCTCTACAAAGAAGGGATTTCTAAAATGAATTTCGATAGATGGGGATTTGCTATAATTATATTAAGTAATTTTTTCAGCACGCCCTCATACATATATATATATATATATATATATATATATATATATATATATATATATATATATATATATATAGTAGTAGAGCCTGGCGTTACCGGGGATGTAACAGTAAGAGATAGATCAAGTATCGACCATCATAAAGACTGAAAAATAAAATTGACAAAGATTATTGTTTAAGGTTGACGAACACGCATGTCTTAATTGTTTTTGGGTTTTTTTACAAATTGGTCCAACCCAAACTCAAACAAAAACATTGTTTTCAATTGTTATGAGTCTATCGATTGAATAGAATTTTATTATAAACAATTGTCGTGTAAATAGAATTTTTAAAGCATTCTGAATGTAAAAATAAAGAAAAAAATGCAAGACAATAAGAAACACTACATGCCAAAAAGAAAAGTGAAGTTTTGTTGAAATCGGTTGAAAAATGTAGGAAATCCGATCGCATATATAAACGAATACACACACACACACACACACACACACACACACACACACACACAACCTGGGTTTTATAATAATTATAACTCGATATGAGTTGTCCCCCTTTCTTCTCGCGACAGCGATGCCTCTTAATCGTGTTTTCAAATTGATTTCGTGCAAAAACAATTATGTTTTTCCAATTTTTGGCGCTGTCGGAACCACCGCAAGGTAATTTTACGTAGTTCTGTGAAGTTTTGTTGAAATCGGTTGAAAAATGTAGAAATTCCGATGCAATATATAAAAGAACAGACACACACACATACAACCTGGGTTTTATAATAAGTATGATATATATATATATATATATATATATATATATATATATATATGGGTGTGTACTTGTATATGTGTGTGTGCCTGTGTGTTCGTACAGCTATGTGGGTGCGTATCTGTGCGCGCACGCGTATGTGTGTGAGAGAGAGAAAGAGAGAATGGGATATATATATATAAACTTTATATAGCAAACTAAAACGCTGTTTTGATTAAAAGTGTTGTAGCCTAGGAAGGATTACTGAATGAGAAATCTGCACACCACGATTGCCTCGTACATGAAACTTAGATTTATACTAAACGGTAAGGAATAATATATATATATATTTTTTTTTCAAATATTTTTCAACGGAAAAAAAAAAAAAAAAAAAAAATTTCATAATATGACATGGATACATTCACGAGACAATAACGAGACATTTCCGTCACACTTCCAATGTTTAAATTTCAACATTTCAACATACAAATGCGTATGTATAGACATAACACCACCCGTATACATACATGTGTCATAGCCGAAACTGTCTACATATGTTTATATATATGTATGAGTCCCGACGGACGACCAAGTATGTATATATGTATATGTGTCTGCATACATCGATGTTTGCGTTTGTACGATGAATGACAAAACGACGAAATCTCCCCACCACTTCCACAATAACACCAATACACGCAATCTACATAAACCCAAATTTTTTAAACAGTAATCAGTTTGTCTGACGATCGCTAAAAGCGTGAAACCCAGGGTCACAAACTCACATCTATCAACAAATATAATATATATATATATATATATATATATATATATATATATATATATATATATATATATATATGGTGGACTCTCCTGTGGTTTTTCACCTCTGTTCTTGGAGCCAAATAGTCAGACTGTAGACTTGTGCAGACTTTCTGTAAGAGCCGAATACAGAGAACTGATGCGCAAGAGGTTCTCAAAACAACACTCTTCCTGTTTTGAATTCAGAGTTGTCGGTCTCCAAGAATATATATATATATATATATATATATATATATATATATATATATATATAGAGAGAGAGAGAGAGAGAGAGAGAGAGAGAGAGAGAGAGAGGAATAGG